GGAAAGATGCATTTTTCGAAAATGCAAGATCGCTCAAGGGCTCGTTAAATCGAGAAAAGCTCTCAAAGTCCGAGATAGCACAACGAGAAGTTTTACGGCCGGCAGTTTCGTCGTCGACAGAACATCGCGCACCACATACTCCTGTATATACACAACACACATACACACACATATGCATACACTTATATAAATGTGGCAGAGCCCTTGTACCCTGTCTCCGATAACTGCGCGCCCCATCTCGCAACCCCGTAAACCATCCCGTCGCGTCCCCTCGCAGTCGGTGTCGAAGTAAATCTCCTCTTCTCAATTACCCTTCGTTTCTCATTCGCTACTATCGCGTCGCCGCCGCCTCTCTCGCTCTTTCGGTCCATTACTTCGACGCCTCGGTATCATCCCCTTCTCGCGGTTGAGAGATGCCGAAGACGCTTCGAGCGGAAAGAAATAAAAAATATATTGAAAGAGATATATATATATATATATACAAAATTTTAGCTGAACGAAAATGCAAAACATATGTAACGCGTGAAGCTTTCGAAACGTATATAAAGGAAGAAACAATTGTGCGATTTCAATCATCGGTTCTTAAGCAAATATCAAAGTTTAGAGATCTGTGATTAGGAAGTGAGAAGGGCAAAAAATTAAGTTATAATATGTATTTATGTATTCTCTGCGAAAGTATTTCAACGGAATTCTCTTCTGAGCGCATATATGTACGGTTCTCCTATGCTCGAAAGCGATGAGAGAAGAAGAGAGGGAGAGCCCTTTTTATATTGCGTTCGGCTGCGATTTCAAAATGTAAACAGACATATTTTTGGCATTTGGTGTTTACTTTGTACTTTAGCTGATATTTTGTAATAATAAAAGAAAAAAGAAACGTGTGTGTACTAATGTAAGTTATAAATTGCCGCGGGTGGCGTAACATCAGATGACGGAGGGAGAATGGTGGGAGTGTACAGCTCATGTTCGCCATCCGAGTTACAATGAAAACATGTAAATATTTTTGTAACATAACTTTAAATATATACATATATATATACGCACACACACACACACACACACACACACGAATACGCTCGCGAGTATCTCTAGACGATTAACGTACGAAATTACATTCCGCGCGGTATTGTACCAGGGCCTTGTCAAACAATGTCGAGATATCGCTCGAGAGAACGAATATGAAATCCCGCGACGTGGAAAAATCAAGCAATCGTGTTCTTCCGTTCACGACGACGATATAGCGATGGGAGAAAAGCGAAGACAAAAGCCAGAGAGTGAACAGGGGGGAGGGGGG